GAGAGGAACAATAGGTAATTAAAGCGATGGAATTTGCGTGGCGAATCGTTCTTCTTCTCTCTTTCTCACTTTCTGTCCGACTCGCTCTCGTTGACACACATCCTTCGCCTTTTACGTGGCCATCGTGCTGGAAAAAAGGAAAGGATCGCTTTCAATTAAGTGGGATGGTGTTTTGAATCGTGGCGCCGGTCAGGTGGAAACCGAAGTCGATTGTTTGCCCTGTTAATTGAATTCTTTGACGAACGGATTCGATGGACCTTGAAACTTTTATTTCTTTTCTCCTCTCTAATTAATGAAGATCGAAAGATTTAACAATACCAATTTGTGGATCGTTATAGGTCGAAGAGATCGGTTTGAAAAATCTGTTATTCCAAAAGGAAAATTGGCGAACGTAAGGGCAGAGTCCACCAAACGATCGGCAGAATCAAAGAGTGTCCCCGGTTTGTCAAAGAGAAGCGAAACGCGAATGATATTCCCGATTCGAACGATCGGCGTAAACGATAGGCGCGGTGCTCTGTTCGTCCATGGCGAAGCCGATTCTCTCGTTCGCTCCTCATCCTTTTTGGACGAAACGAGGAAACAGAGGGGAGAGAAGGACACGTTGGTTTTCTCGTCACGATTCTGGCATGTCACTGTCGTGTGTCGTCGACTTCGTGTGCATACTGTCGGCCTCCGTTCGCGGGCAAGCTTCTCCTTCAACCGATTTCAGATCGGCCGAAGAAATCGTTACACTTTAGAAACAGGAATGCATTCGCTCTTTCTCTGCAATACATTTCTGATAGAACAAGATTTCCATTAGAAATTTTTTAAATAATTTTTCTATCATTATTTCTATCAGTTCCAATGATTTGTAGACTATCCATGTACGAATACACAGAGGGATAAATAACGTGATCAAACAGAACGCCAATTCCATCGAACACATTATTTTTTTTCACGGACCATATGTTTATCAAAGGTCCACACAATTTTTTCCGACGATAAAACGACTGGATTTCTAGCCGGATTAAAAAAGAGAATGATATTTTGCTAACGGAATGGCAAGCGTGACGTTTCGAAAAGAGGGCGCGACACCTGCCCCGTGGATTAACAATACCAGGTAGGATGGTATACAGAGAGGAGACATTGAATCAATAGAAGGGGAGAAAGATTGTTCAAATACTAATCTTTGGAGTTCAGTCGGTGGTAAATATTTGTCTTCGATGTTATTAAAATTGTACCTTGATACTTGACAAATACTATTTTTTTCCTCGATCAATTATTAATAAAATTGACACCAAATATCATTATTAAAAATAATACCAAGCATTCTAATTCATAAATTACCGTTAAAAATAGTTTACTCAACTCGAGTGTCTTTTACCAGATGCTTTGTGGGTATTTTCAAAAACGTCGACGCTCTTCCGTCGCGTCTAAATAAAATGGCGAAGGTGGGTATATCCGGGAGGGGAAATTGGCTTCCGTTCGCGTCCGATCACGCTCAATTTCGTCCTAACAAAACACGAATGTTGGCCGCGAGATCGTCGCACGTGTGACAATTGAAAAATAATATCGTCGGGTTTATTTAGCCGTGCGATCAGAGAGGTCCGAGGGGGATGTTGGATCGTCGCGACGCACGGGGGATTAAAAATAATGTTTCGAGCGTGACTGGCCAACCCCCGAGGGATTACGGGACAACGTCGTCCACTACGATTGGCCGGGGATGCAGCTCCATGGATTTTATTCGGGGGGAGGAAAAAAAAGCGATCAGGGGTTGTTCTTATTCGAATGTTTTTCTTTCGCGTATCAACGTTTTGTTTAATTGTTTAATACACATAGGGTAGATAAATACGTGGGAAAATTCATTTTTAATAATTTTGTACTAAATGAGATCCGAATATGATTTGAATAACGTCCGACAAACTTCCGTTTCGAATCACGATACGCGTCATTAAGATCTCGCGGTGTTAATTTCCATTAGCGAATATCCAATTTCCTTGACGGCCGTAAAGCGAGCCAATCACCGTTGCCAATAAACTTAATTATATTGAACAGGAAACGTACAGGTTCCAATAGATTATACCTCAAGGTACCGTGTCGCTTTTTTCCAACCCTCGTTTCATTCTTTTTATCCTGTAATTATCTTCTGAATTAATCGAATCTGTGAAATTAATTACCTTGCTTTTTCCATCTTCAACGCTAATTAACAAGGACAATAATATCTCGGAAGCTTCTTAAATCGCGTTTATTCGTCACCCAATTAAACCTATCCAAATCACAGACTCCGAGAAAGGTGTCTTCTCCTTAAACTCGAAAAATATCTCGCCATGAGAACGGTTCTCGGGTAGATCGAGATAATCACGAGTAGAAACACGGTGCCAGCGTTTTCTATCCGATCGATCGAATTACCCCGAGGATTACGGTTAATATCAATCGCGGAGGATCGCACGCGCTGAATAGTGGCGAACGTCGGCGAAGGGTAGAAACCGTGGCGTCTCGATTCCTGCCAGAAGATAACGAGAAGTACGCGTGTATCTGGAGGAAAAGCGATCCGAGGGTCCGGGCTCCAGCAGCCGGGTAATTGAAGCTGCTCCAGGAGAACGCGACTAAGTGACAGGTGAACACCTTATACGCGAACCTGTGGGACCCCGTGGAACACGGCTCGCGGGGCCTCTACGCCGCGTCGCGTCGCGTCGGTCCGCTTTGCACGGGCACAGGTGTGCGAAGACGAACGCTCATCCTTCGTCACGGCACCTGCGCGAGCCTCTTTCGCCGGCAAAGGAGTCGAGAGGCTCCTCTGTCTGACCATATTTGCCTTTCGAAAATTTCGCTGATTGATAGCACCGTGTTCATGGGCGTAATTGGCGACTTTGGACCCTTTGCGGTTACGTTGCCTCCGTTCAATCCATTATTGCGATTTTCAGGGCTTTCCTTCTGCGACTCTGACGTTCGAAATCGCGATCAAAGTTCGATGCCTGAAATGATTTGCATTTATGACGATTCGAAGCTTTAGAGAAATTTGATTTTTACTTTTACAGTAGTTAGATATTGGCACGACTCCTCAATTTTTTTCAGAATTTTCATTCCAGTGCGCCGCGTTTATAAAAATCAAAAATTTCAATTTTTACATTATCATCGAGTTATCAACATGCACCTATAAGAAACCCACTTTCATTAAAACCCATCTTCAACCTTCCGTTTGCTATACGCGAGATATCTCGTTACCCGTGCGCAATCCGTTAATTACTCCAATTAATCTAATATATTTTACATAAAAATAACAGTGAAATTTTGTGTAAAAAAAGCGATACCCAGTTCCATCTTTAACCTCACCTCGGGACGATGTTTCCCCGCGTAATCGTAGCAATTAGCCGCGGAATGAATGGCGGAACGAACGATCTAGGTGCACGGGTAACGGAGGAAGTTTCACGGTTAGATAGCCGCGGTCGTGTACCCAGGGGAACCTTTCGAGGATTGTGGCACTTAACGGATGATTAAGAGGGCAAATAGAGAGCCACTTTCCCCTCTCTCCTTTTCCCCGATGGTTAACGGTGGCGCAGTATCATCCCCTATAACGCTCCCTACAGGAGCCTCGTTCGCACAGTTTAATCGAGTTACCCCCTCCCTATCTCCATTTCGTAATCACCCTGTGTCCCCGTGGGTTGCCATGGAGACCGCAGGCGGTCCTGAAAGCCGATTGGCGGATCTTCACGCACGCGGAAAAGCCCGGCCACCCCTTTTTCCTCGTCCCGCGCGTACGTGGCCTATTCCCCAGGATCACCAGCTCGACGGTTTCAACCCCCCTTTGTTCGGCCCAGGCCAGCTGGATTTACACTCGGTTTAACCGGGCTTCGCCACCCTTCCCTCTACCATCCCGAGCCACCACCATCGAGACGCTCCATCGACGCCAGTATTTTACGGAGGCGCGTTGTAAAAATCGCATAAAAGCTTCCAGCAGCTTGCACGATTTATACGGCTCGCGATATACGACGTAGCCGCGATTTTATTCGATCCTACCGAGCTACGTTTTTATGTATATTCGCCGATGCCTCGAGCGTATTTCGGGATCGTCGACTGTCCTGAAAAGGGCGCCTTGGGTGCGTTCGATCTTGAACCAGTGCTTGTAGGGTGAAAGCGTAGGGTGGATTTGTTTTTGTGATTCGAGTATCAAGGAGAATTCTTAAAACCATCGGAAGTCTCATTTATTTGTTAAATTTGAAAATGAATAAATACGCAAAAATTTTCCACCCCTCAAACTGGTTCACCCTTCGGTATCGATGATCTTGGAGTGTATATCCGTAAACTGTTTCCACCCCGTCGCTGGCTGATCCGTCGATGTTTCACCCTCGACGGAGGCTAATCCGGGTCTTGTCAAAACCACGTTGGATCGGATGTTAGACAAACATCCACACCCTCCTCTGTTTCCATCATCCCTTCCAGTCCTTGTTCCAGCTCGTCGTCGGAGTTACAATGCTGATTTCACGCGTTGATAGTTCGAAAATCGACTCCTTTCAACCCTTCCCCGACTGAGAAGAACGAATAGGACAATGTGTATCTAACAGTCAATTCGAGGACAATAGTTGTCGTTTTGGCTTTCATTCGTTCGCAGCAGTCGTTTCATCCCTTTCGTCTTCTTCTTTCACGGGGTTCAGCGTCACCGACGCGAGCCATTGTAACCGGATACACCCAGTTTAAGGGTGGTTCCTCCGATACACTGGGGTGGATTATAACTAGTCGCCACTTAATTTGCCGACGCTCCCAATACTCAAGGGTCGACATCCCTATTTCGAACCGGATTGGCTGGAATGAAATCGACGGACGAGTCGAGTCATTTATCTTTTATTGCGGCATGATTTGTCGCATTTTATTCGAAACAAGTCGACTGGAATCTTTCTGTTCAATTTCCTTCAGAATTTACAGTAAAAGGGTTGCCTTAACAATTAACAATTTTTCATTTCTTCATCCACTAATCATACTCCCTGAATGTAATTAACGAAAGGGAATTATTTATCTGGTTACAGGTGAAGGTCTGGTTTCAAAACCGACGAACGAAGCACAAACGGATGCAACAAGAGGAGGAGGCGAAGGCGCAACAACAGTCTGGAGGTGGCGGAGGTGGTGGTGGTGGTGGTGGTGGTGGTGGCGGTGGCGGGGGTGGGGGCGGAGGCGGGAACGCGAACAACAATTCGAACAACAAGAACACCCATCACGTGAGCAAGTGGCAGCAGGAGACGGGCGACTATCACCAGGAAGAGGACGAGGAAGAGGAGCACATCGATCCGGAGGCCGACGAGTGTTCCAGCGGTTCGGAGGCGTAGCTAGACGTTCTCTGCCTGGACTAAGGCGCCAGGAATTCCGTCTGATCGACGAGAAACGTCCTTGAGACTGGATCGTTCGAAACGCAGCAGCCGACGGGCCGAAATTCCGTCGAATCTTGGCAGAGAACTTGGAAATCTTGGGTTTAACATGCTGCACGATCGACAGTTCGAACTAGGAATTGATAAGAATTGTCGATTACTCTGTACCAGAGCCAGGAATCGCGCGATGCGGGCCGAACATGGTTTGAGAAAAACCGCATGGAATTGCGTTCTTTGTTCATTCTGGATATCCAAAGATTGTGTACTGCGCGGAGCTTTCGAGGTTCGTTTAAACGAAGAATTGTTTGGAGTAAACTGTACTGGAATTGCTGGAACTTGGAGAATAGTGTGAGATTTGAGGATCAGTAGAAATTCTATAGGAATTGCGTGTGAAGGAGGAACATTCTTAACGATAGTAGTTGAAAAGAAGCCACTGGAATTGTGTGAAATTCCATTCATTCTAAAATGAAATGGATCGTACAAAATGAAACTAAGTGACATCGAAGGGAAGAGGCTACAAATCCCTCTGAAGAAGTCAGTCAATGGAATCGTCTTGAAATTGCATGTTTTATTAATCATCAAAGAGGATCGTCATTCGGAAAGCTCCTATTGAAAGAAAGAAATTTAATCTTTGACCAATTCCTTTAATTGGTCCAGTTCCAAATCCTCGCGTCGAAACAATCGAGAAAAGTCGACTCGAACCAAAGTTTTCGCAGGATCTTCGAGACTGAGTTTCTTTGATGGAATTGCTCGAGCTTTCGGGCAACTCGGAAGCTCGGTAATGGATGCATTGTTCTTCGAGGCTGTACCGAGCCAAATGGACGGGTTTCCGGCGGAAACGGCGGCATCAAGGAACTTAGAACTCCATCCAACCATTCTATTTTTCCCTCGATGGAATTGCGAGCCTGTCCGCAGAGTATCGGGGGTAAAACGGCAGGAACATCCTGGAGGAATGTTTCTCGAACGAGGGGGTTGAATCGAGCCCCGGGTTTACACGAAATCTTGCCATAGTTCGTGTGAATAAACACCGTGAAGAATCGATGAACTGTGATCCACGGTGAAGTTATCCTTCGTCTACCGTTGAAAGGACGAAAGGTGTCCTTGAAATGGACACGTGTGTAAATAGCTTTGGTCGTGCCAGATCGAAAGACGATTGAGAGAAATGAAAACACTGAGAGAAAGAGAGAGAAAGCGTGTGTGTATGAATGAATGAAAGATAGAAGAAGAGGAAGGAGATTGAGTGCCAAACTTCGTACCCTTTAGAAAGAAGAAACCCAGTGTAAACTTCGAATTGTACTTTCGATTGTATTTAACGTCGTTGTACCACGAACGACCACCAGTATTCCCTATGTCGAATCGATGTCCGAGATGTACTGATGAATTTTAAATTATTCTATCGATTACGTTAGTAAAAGGCGCCTCGATGACGACGATCGTTCCTCGAAGAATCCTATCTTTCGTCGCTAACCTCCTCGTGGAAAATAACACGGTGTTCTTTATGCTTCGTCGAGGAGATTGGAGATCAACGGAGATCGACTTCGAACGAGGAGAATTTTGATCGATTGATTCTTGGCGAACGATCGATCCCGCGTACGCTCGAGGGAGTCGGTTTGTAAATACGTTGTACATAAAAGAATTGTGATTTTACTCGACGTGCAAACGCGTAAGGATTGTACGAGCATCCGGAAGATTCAGTTCGTGTTCTAACGATATAGCGAAATAAATTATATCATCTCTTCACGATACACGTGTGAGTTTCATTCACCAGCCTTCGTCGAGGAATGACTGGCATAGAGTGAATGACGGTGTGCAAGAGAAATTTTGAAAATTTTCAAAGAAGAAAAATAGAGCTGAAGAGAAGTTTGAATGGAGCCTCTGTTTGCAATATTGATAACAAAGAAGACTAATTATTCAGCAGTAATTAGAGTTCAATTCTAAATTAAAGAAACTACATCGTTGAGAAACATAGAAAATATAATGAATCATTTGAAACTCATCCTGCAAAATAATCCACGTTCCTTCACAATTACCGCACTAATGAACCACACTAAACCATCACACAAATTACAACCAGCTAAACATTGAAACATTAAAATTGCGTTCTACTTCAATAATCATCATGAAAATTAAGAAGAAACATGATCTACAAAAACCACCTCTCCAGAACCACATCACACACCTAAACACAGAAGCTGCATCCCATCAAATAATCCACATTCCACCTCTTCAACAATCTTCCAAAGAGAAACAAGGTAAAAAGAAAAGGCAATCTTCCTATTAATTTTTTGCGTTATTGATCACTGTGTTAACGAAGTGGAAACACGTTCGAGTTATTGACAAGGTAAAAATGATATTCCAACTGACAAATTGTTTCCACGGAAGTGTCTTTTCGTCTGGTAGTGGTATTCGCAGGCTACCGGCGATCCTTGTCGATAATCGCTTTATAATCGCCGCTTTGAAGACGAATAATTACGCGACCGACTTGGCTCCCCCGTAATTAACCGAGCCGCGTCTGTCTTCGTGGATGAAACAACGGATATGTAGAGAGACGCGAAACGTGTTTCGCAAGGAGTCGTTATTTTTGTCGGAATTGCCGTTAACACGGGATGGAATCGCGAATTTTGCCAGCTCGACAGTATAATAACGGGTTTTGCTGATTTTCTCTACTTTCGCGGTTCTCTCTTGTAGACTTTCGGGGGAGGATCGTTTCTTCGAACGTTCGAAATTTTGCTCTTCCACTTTGATCCTTGAACGATAAAAACGAACGCTTCGATTAAAATTAAAAATTCTTTTAAAATTTAAAAAAACAAAATCGAGCTCGAAATTAAATTTAAAGTCTACGTAAAAAGAAAAGTCCCCGAAAATATTTTCCATTAATCGTTTATTACCTCTTTAAACGACCCTTGCATCGACGAAGCCGTTCACAAAAGGAGGAGAAAAAAGAAATTAATCGAACGTCAGTACGGAGTCCCCACAGCGTTCTCCAATATAAATTAAGATCGATTAATCGGTACTTGGGCCGGAATTACATCGATCAGGAGAGACTACGGGGCGATAATTAAGCGCGTTAATTGGAACGTTGACCGAGGAACGATAATTAAGCTCGGTAGGGGAGAGACCGTCAAATCGACGCGATCGTCAATTAATAGATATCTCATTGTTCATATTGGTGTCTGCCTCGTGTCGGCAGCTCGTATGTCCGTTTTCATGCAGGAACCTCTTCTCGGATGAAAGCTCATTAATATTCCTGGCCAGACAGTTCTTAATCGATGATTATCCAGTGATCTGGCAATTAGCGCACCACTCGCTTCCTATCGATCCTCCTTATCACACTGAATCTCGTTATCAACCGTGTTTCATTAAAGATTGAGGTCACAGATTGAATAGAGTTCAATCACGTACAGGAATTTATCGATAGGGACTGTAGAAAAAAAGAAATTATTGATAAAAGAAAATTAACCAATAGTGTCAGGTTTCATGAAGTTTCAGAAGCAGTTCAATTTAATAATTAACTTGATAATTAGATCTTCGATTTGGTAATTTCTCAAATCTGATCATCCTTAAAAATTCTCAAACCAATTTATATTTTCATCGTAAGGAGAAAAAAATGAGGAAATATTCTTCTTTCTCCGGTGTAAGGACACCTCGTTCTCAACAAGATCCAACGTTCGGCTGGCCAGCACTCTCGCAGATCGTTTTCAAGGGAACAGATAGAAGACGAGAGAAGAGGAAAGACTCGGTCGAGGCGGAACAGGGTGGGGGTCGTCGAGGGCCGCGAGTTCAGAACTGCTAATTATGTAAATTGCCGGTGTGTTGCAAATTACCCTCACAGTTTGCGTTCATTCTGCACACAATCCACACGGTCCCTGCACACCTCGCACGGAATCCATCCACTCGGATGGATACTGTTACTTCCTTCGAGACAGAGACACCGCGAAGGTGTAACGTACAGGATGAAACGAGATGAGATGACTAAGGTGAAAGAGAGAGGATCCTCGAGACGGAACGAGATCCTGCTGGTATACCCCTGCTGCCATACAGGTCGTTCGTCATAACCGGTACTCAACGATGCACGAGTACACGGCTACAATGTTTAGAGGCACAAAAAGACCCGGTTGATGAATATTTTCACTATAGTTCACGATCAGACGACACCGGATGGATCAATCATTAAAATCCTTCTCGACTGAGAAATTCAACTTTCAATTATAGATCTTAACTGATAATTAAATTTTTATATCTTATGCAAATGTTACAATTGCTTCGAAGTAATTATTCAGTATTAAATGATATCGATTGATAGTGTAGATTCTTGTTGAAGGATTGTCGGACAGGGAAATAAAAATTCTTCGATTCTGTGAAACTGATAAGAGCAACAGACAAGGATGTATCATTAACTCTATTTTGGAAAGTCGCTGGAATCAGAAGGTAGAGAAGCGTGGAAACCGGTTAGTACCGCGTGGCTATTACGGAACTCGTCGTAGAATCGATATGATTGAGTAGAATACCGTATCATTAACTCGTTTTGCAGCAGGGAATTCTTGGAGCAACGAGAGTCGTAGAAACGGTTTGGCGGCGAAAGGATCGCGTGTACACCTGCGAGAATCAATATATTGTGCGTTTGTTCAATTTCGTATTAACGCTAGAACTACCGACGTTTCAGGCGCGCTAATTTTTAGAAGAGGGATGAAACATAATTTAATGTATACATCCATTTTTAATAAGAAATAAGAAAATTGAGAGCAGTCATTTTCATCGGTTTGGTAGTTTTAATTTAATTTAATTTGTTTAGTTTTGCGAGGGTGTAACAAAGACCCCGAAAGAGTAGAGAAAGTACTACCCTAAGTAGGTTTTTATAGCTAGAAATTAAAAATTAAAAATCACAAATTACAGTGTGTAGAAGAGGTTCGTGTAAAATATTAAAAATTCAAGGAATTTTATTTTACCCATTCGATTCGACAATTGAATTCCAAATTTCTTGGTTATTCTATTGATTCTAACTCTAAAAAAATGTTGAAAAAAAAGAAAGAAAGAAAGAGAAACTGTTAAGCTATCAGGGTGTAGCGAGTGGAACACGCGCCCGATAAAGTGGACCGTGCACACGAACAAATCGTTTAATCCGAGCCGGGGCCCGATCGAGGTAATGACGGCCATAAACTGCAGCCACAGAAGGGCTCACGAAGAAGAGCCCCAAGGTTCCTCGGGCTGGCTCGGAATTGGGCCTGACAGGCGAAATGGGCCCTGTGGTCCCGGGCCACGTATACCTGCCTCCTCTCTTTCTCCATTTTTATCCGTCTTCTTCCTTCTATCACCTCCTCTCTATTCCACTTTCGCTCGCTCCGTGTATACCCATCTAACAGTTTCTCTTTCTCTTGTTTCTCGACGGACGTGCAACTCGGATGCCACAAGCCTGGGATCCCAGATGGAGGATCCGGTTCCAGGAATCGAGCGTGTAAAACATCGGTTAAAGGCGTGCTTTCCGAGCGGCAATCGACGGGAAAACAATGGGCCGACAGCTCCTAAAGTGTCTGACAAATGTTCCGCGCGTGTTGTTGCCGGTACTCGGTGCTGTCCCCTTGGACGATCGGCGCTGGCAATTTTTTTGTTATCCAGGAAAATTGTTAGGAATATTAATTAGGGGGATTGTTCTTTTCGATAAGGGTGGATTCGTTTGAAAGTTGGAATATCGTTTAACATATAATTTTGAATTCCAAATTTCCTGTAACCATATTTTTCCTTTATTTCCATATTTCCATCTACAGTGGAAGGCGAGGAGAATCGAGGAACGGTGAAGGGTATTTCCGATCGGTCCAGCTAATAAGTCACCGGCCGTGAGTTAGAGCGGATGTATGCATTTGAATAACACGCCAGGCGACACGACCTTTTTCCACGGATGTATGCCACGAAATAAATCGACTCGGAGAGCCAGGCAGCGAGGACCACCGAGCCGACCAGGTAAGCACGCTCGTAAAGTCCAAATTAAAGTTGGATCAAGCTGGTCCAGGACCGGGTATCGATCCTCTACGACCAGCCTGCGACTTTCTCTCCTAGCCCGGTACAATCGTAAACCGTTTATGCGACTCGTGACGAGTAGAATTCTGTTTGCCATTTGCGAAAGTCGTGATTCGAGGGAACGAGGATCGAATGGAAAAAAAAGGGGGAGAGAAAAGAGAATAAAGAAGGCGATCATCATGGTTGCATACTAAGGAAAGGGTTAAGCCCGATGGTTAAAGGGGATTGAATCTTGGTAGCCGGCAAGATTTTCTCCACCGTTCCAGGAAGCTGAAGAAAGAATGTCGAGGAGGCGCGAGGGTCAAGTGATCCGTTCAGCATTCGATACACAAATCGCGGAATAGTCGTTCACGGTAGGCTGAGCAACATCGAGGAAGACTTTAACCACGATACGATTAGGATCGATCGGTGAATGTTAACGGCGTGGAAATCGCGGTGCTCTGCAATTTTCCTCGACGCTTCCTGCAATGAAGCCTCGCGATGCGGATGACCCGTTTGACGCCTCTTCGCTACTCGCGTGATCGACCGACTCGATCCGAAAGATCATTGATTCCGTTGAAACATTCGTTCCCTGCAAGATTATTAAGAGGAACTTTTCAGCAATCTCGCGATGTTACCTTGAAACTAATGAAACGTTGCAACCCGCGTGATTGCAAGGGTGAAACCACCGCTCCGAAACTGGACGACTCGAATTAAATTCCAATTTGAACCCTTTCAAAGTTAGAATCAAGGT